TTAATTTTTTAAAGTTTTGGATAGTTTTGCTATATTTGGCGCATGAAATAAGTATTAAACAGCAAAAAAGGGGTGAAAACATTTTTGGTTGTCACGGAAACAAAAAAAAACCCTCCGCCATTTAGAGTTTTTCGGTACTTTTAAATATGCTTTTAAATATGCTAAGGCTTTTTTTTATTGTATGGACTTAGAGAAATCAAATTTAAGCTGCTTATATTTCAGTATATATTTTGTTAAACTTTTGTCACTACAACTTTTTGAAATATCTAATAGTAAGAATTTAACCAGGTCTAATAAATTGTACCCTTTTTACTACTCAAAAGTTTCAATATATGCATATTATTTACCATAAAATTTTTCTATGAAAGCCATCACAATTCCCTCTTGACAAAAGTTGTATTTTTGCATGAAGAACACTAAATGAAAATATGGTGGGCATTGTTTCAAAAAATAAAAAGTAGTAGGCTTTTTAGTGTTAAAAACCTGCTAACTGATAAAAACAGCCAAATGTAACGAAAAGAAGGTCGTAAAAATAACATGTGTATAAACTGCATAGCCGATTGTAAGCTTTGGCTGTTTCCGAGATGATGGAAATAAAGATATTCAAATACATGAGAAATCCAGCTTTCTTATTATGCCAAATGCAATATGATGACGGACATAAAACTTTTCATAGAGAGCTTGTAATTTTGAGAAAAATTGATTATTTTTAATTAATCCCTTTCTTATTCACTACAGGCATGGTTATTCTTACCCGAAGCACTAGGCGGTGTGCCCTCGAGCAAACAGCATTTTAAAATTATTTTAAATGACATTTACAAATGCATTCCATTATGCATTTAAAAAAAAGAAAACTTATGTACTTGAAGAATGGCGAGTATCTACCAGAAACATGGATCATGATATTACGAGAAGCATGTTCAGAAATAAGGTTTTACTTGTGCTTTATAATTGCTAAATTAAATAGATACTTCATTAATAAGTATTTTGAAAATGCATGATTCAAAAAGAGCATTTATTCATTCGCCTCTTGAAAGTGATTAAAAAAAATGATACACATATTGAAAAGTGAAAATAACTGATACCGAATACATAATTCGTTGACATTAAGCTCCTCGACGCGACTGTAAAATGAAAAAGTGTATTCCCGGAAAAATCGATTGTAAATAACCGGAAAATAAACGTTAACTTGATGTGCAGCTGTTGACGAATATCTGATATTTAGCCCTGACTTTTATTGTATATAAATACCTGGCAACATATTTTTAATATTGATAAATATGAACCAAATACGATGTTTATTTATATATAAACGTTTTGGTAAGAAGTTATAATACAAGTTTGACCTTGATCAGAAAGTATTTCTTATCGATTCAGCAGCTTGTTTAGAATTCGTGAGTCTGTGGTTTTAGATTTGGACTCGTAAATGGACGCTCATACCTGCTGCTTAAACCTCGTCCATCACTCACCTAGTCTATCGATCCTATAAATAACATATCAGCTTATTTCGTTTCTTCCGCTCAATTGTGATCCCACGATCCATCAATACATTTTTCTTGTCAGCGATAACGGGAAGGGGGAGTAAGGCAAGGTAGTGGTGTTATCGACAAGGGAAATATACTGCCCCGAAATAGTCCTTATTAAAGTCGCCTTCAGCATATTGGTTATTGTTGAGAGTATAGATTTTTAGTGTCTAAAACGCCAGCATATTAGTAAAACTTTAGTTGGATCAATAATCAATACAAAACAAGCTAGTTATCGGATGTTTTTAATTATAGAAACTAAAAGACTGTATAGATCGACAACCATTTAAGTCTTATTTCCGAAAATATACATTTTTATTGTAATGGGGTGGGTGGGAGATGGGGAGAGAATGAGATTGATCGATTGTATGATGTATAAGCCATGCGCGCTATTGCCTACCTCGAGATTTTTCCAATAATCCTGGTAACACATTGAGCAGAAACTCATTATCTGCTTCTCAAGCAGGAGGTCAGTTTACTTTTTTTTTTAACTTTGCAGACGATACAAGTGTAGCTTGAATTTAATACAGACACCAGGTAAGTTCATACTAACATTATTTATAGTTTAACAAACGTAGTGATGAATGTTTTATAAAAAATATAAAATACAACTTTAATAATTAAATCAACACCATTGAACTGGGTTTTTTTTACAGTTTTTTTGCTTAAAACACGAAAACATTCGCTCGGCACTTGATTAGTGTAACGTATGGAATTTATTCTGGTGGATTATATTTGACTGTTTAATCTTATACATTAATTTATTTTGTTATTTTAACCGCTTTTGTATCAAACTTTGGGTTGTAGTAATACTTAACTGTGTTGAAGGAAAACCTTTCCAATAATAAAAATAAGTGAAAAAAAAGTGTTTAATCGTGTAAATTTTATATTAACATAATCTAAACATTAAACATACATTGTTGCAATAAGTATTAGTTTTAAACAATGTACTTTGCTGATTTTTATCATACTTTAGTACTTTGCCATATATATTTATACAACACAAAACGCGGGCTAAAAATAGCATGTATACGTCAACGGCTGCACGTGCAGACGTGTTTGTTTTTCTATGACTCACTCGGTTTTCTGGGTATCCTGGATTTTATTTTATTATCCAGCTATTGACACGTCAACGAATTCTGAAACGTGGGTCGGGCAGATGGGTCGGGAAATTTGATGGTTGTCGGGCAGATGGGTCGGGAAATTTGATGGTGAAAGTACCCACGTTTTTTGTCATCAAATGTATGTAAATAGTTATTTTCTACTTTTTAGTCCACAAGAAAAACGTGGTTTTTTAAAAAAAGTTTTTTTTAAGTATTTTATTTTCTCCTTTTTAGTCCGTTGCTACACATGAAAAACGTGGTTTTTAAAAAAGTTTTTTAAATAGTTTATTTTCTACTTTATCTAATGACTTGATTAAGTATGAATTGACTAAGTGTTTATAAATACACGGACTAAAAAAATCTTGAGCGACCAGGATTCGAACCTGGGTTGTCGCGGCCACAACGCAAAGTACTAACCACTATACGATCACGGCCAGCGCGCTCACATCGATTGGGGCCGAAGTAACTGTGTCAATAAGCCTCCAGTCTTGTCGGTATCTTTAGAAATCATGTCCTCAATTTTATGGTCCTTTGGGCGTAATTAAATTAAGCTAATTACGGTCTCTAATTGCTAGTTTTTATGATTGCATCTGAAATTGTTAGGCGAAAGTAGCCTGCATGCCAAATTTCAGAACTATAGAACAATCAGAAGTGGGCTAATTTTCGATGTCAATTTTAACAACAAACACACAAACGCGAAGCTGAGTTAATAAAAACGTGTTAAAATGCAATTTTAGTTAGGGGGAAAACTTCACGTTTTACAGCCTTATAGATAATGTAATATATCTTAGGTAAACGATTGCCGCTATCGAAGTTAAGACCACTCCATATGTCGCAAGTTTAAAACAGTGGTCTGAGTTAGAGCTAGTGTAATTAAATTGCTATAGCGCTGATAGAATAAAAGCGAATGTTCTAGAGCGAAGGTCAGCTTATGAAACTCACAAACTTCTCTCCACCCCTCCTACCACCTTTACAACAAATAATATATCCAGCTGACTAAGTTAACTGCAAGCTTTTGCAACAACAGCTAGGTTGATGAAATTTCATATATAAGTATTATATCAAAATCGTAGATCCGTATCAACTTTTGAGCGATTTCCGACAACCGGAAGTGGTACTTTTTCTACTTTGAATTTTTCAAAAGCCTATAACTTGAGTACTATTTCAGATAGATAAATGAAATTTCACATGTAAGTAAAAGATCTAATTCTCTACCTTCTGTTAAATTTTGAGTAATTTCCGTTGACCGGAAGTAGTAATTTACGCTACTTCCGATTTCTCAAAAAACTAATGTAAATTTTAAAAGTACTAATAATATTGCGCACTATTATGCGCTTTTTTATTTGGCGTTCACTTGGTGTGCAATTAATTTGTCTAAGAGATTTTATTCTATTTTTAAAACTTTAAGTATTTAAAATGGATTAAAAATCATGTCTATAGCCCGAGTTCCCATCCCCTGTTATTTTATATAAAAATATTCGAGAAAGTTTAGGGGAGATCACTCCCGGTTTATTAATTAAATGCTTGTGTCCCATACGTCTCATGCTGATAGGTGATTGAACCCCTAACTACAACAAATGTGCATATTAATTAACACCTAACAATACGATCCCACAAACTATCATATTAAATAAAACATGTGTATTATGATCAAAATGTGTTCTTAAACAGAGCAACCGTATATTTATAGTAATCTCCTTTACTGAAAACAGCCTTATTTAGATTAAGTTTATCATGTAATAATTGTTTCAAAGCGAATTCAACAACTCTTTGTTATTCCAATTTCGTTTTGCGATAATTTGAAAATTTGGGACACCGTTGTCCCTTGGTCCTCAAAGGGTTAAACAGAGCAACCGTACATTTATCGTAATCTTCTTAGAGTTAGCTTGATCATACACACATGTTATTCCCAAAACCAATTTCCGGACATATTTATGTAACTCAAAAATATAATTTGTACATATCCCTAGACTATTTACTCTTAAAACTTAAAACAGACCGCTAAGTCTCATTTATGTCACATTTCTCTGAAAAACACATTTCCCAAATAACCACAACAAAAAAAAAATACGTAACTTTGAAATTTATTTCGGGAAATAGAGTTGTTTTTAAAATATGCATATTAAAATATCAAAATATTTTATTCTTACAATTAAGTTCACGTTAGTCATTCATCCTCTTAAAATGTTGGAAATGTTCTAGAATAAGTAATAAAGATATTCGGATAACAAAATAATAAAACTATCTTTACGACTAACAGCATACAAAATAACAGATCCTTTGTAAGGTTTTGATTTTGTTTCAATAGTATATTTTCCAGGAAACAACGGCGTTATATTTATGTTGTTTTTTTAATTTTTATTTTCATCTCCACAGCTGAAGATGGCACCTTCCAAACACGTAAAGCTTACACTGGCATTGATTGGTAAGACAGGAAACGGTAAAAGTGCAACGGCCAACTCAATTTTAGGACGCAATGCTTTTAAAACAAGCAACTATACAACCGCCTGTACATTTCTCACCATGTCTGCGTTTGTAAAGCGTGGTGATCTAGAAATTCAAGTTGTTGACAGTCCCGGGTTTATGGATCCAGATAATAAAATAAATCTAGACAATATTACAGAACAGATTCCAGGAATTATGAGTGTCTGTCAAAAAGGTATCGACGCCGTGGTGCTGGTTTTGAAGTATGGCAACAGGTTTACGCAAGAAGAAATTGATACTGTGTGTAAAATAAAAGCAATATTTGGTGAGAATATAATGAAAGATCACGGTATTATTGTTTTTACATACGGAGAACTGTTTGACGGGAGCGATGAACATTTTCCTGAAGCAAATGATGAAGGCGATGGTAATAATGCTATAACTTTTGAAAAGTGGTGTAGCAAGCAAACTGGTCCAATACAAGATTTATTCAAAGAATGCGAAAACAGAATTGTCCTGTTTTGTAATAGCTGCTCCATATTGTATTCCGAAAAGAAGAAAATGGCTGTGGATCAATTAGTTAACATGGTTGTTGAGATGAGCAAGAAAGGCGCCTACACGAACGAAAAATTTGAACAATGTAGATTGGAAAGAGAGCGAATCATTTTAGAAGAACAATTATTAGAACTTAATAATGAGTTTCAGCGAAAGCTGGATTTCTTGATACAAGATATACATCAGTTTAAACTGTCTAATTGTATGACGGAAGATGATCTAAATCAGCTATCAGGACGCTGCCAAGAATTGTTAGCTGAAATCGATAACATTTCTAACGATGACGAGATAAAGACAAATCTAAAAAAGAAAGTTACGAATGTTTTAAAAGGCTTAGAAGAAATAGATTTGAAAAAACCTATCGCGAAACAGATGAACCGACTTTTAAAATTGTTGGAGGTTATAAAAAATCCGCCTATGTCTGTAGCAGTTGGAGCTATTATTGTAGGGGCTTTAGCCATAGCAGCTGGTTTCACAATAGCCGTGGTAACTGGGGGCGCTGGGGCAGCCGTGGGAGCCGTGGGAGCCGTAGCAGCTGCAGGAACTGCAGAATGTGTGGGGACATTAGGAGCTGTAGGAGCTGTAGTTCTAGAAGGATCTGCGTTACACGTTGTAAGTGCCGGCGCCACATCTTTAGGTTTTGGAGTGTTTTCTTTTTTTGCTAAAATATATAATAGGATTAAGAACCGTTAATTAGATATACACATGTAATGATGTATGTATGTTATGTTCTGTCCCTGTCAGCATAATATTAAGTAATAACAAAAAATATTATAATGTATCATAGTTTAGCCAATGCAACCATAATTTTAAATTGTTGATTTAAAAAAGCTTATTTTATAGTTTACTTTAACTTTTGAGACGATTTGTTTTATTGTTTTTAAATACGTTTTTCTTTATTATTAAATAAGCGTAATTACATGTTCTAGAAGAACAATTTAAGCACGTACCATATGGTTACCTTACACATGCGGTCCCAATATAAACAATGTCAATTAAAAAGTAGATTCCTACAAATCATTTTTAACGCTATTTCCATTCTGGAGAATTGCGTTTATTAACTCGTCATTTCTGGGAATGGATGAATGAATGAATGTATGGATGAACGTGTGTCCGGGTTTTAAGTCGTATCTCCTCCTCAACGAAGCAATATCGATGACTAGTTCCAAAAGCAATTATGTTAAGCAAGTTACGAGAATGAGCATAGGCCATAAAAATTCCGGGTTTCTTTCATGTATTTCCCGGAAAAGCCAAAAAACCTCGAAAAAATTCAGTGTTTGGCCCATATCTCGGCAACCAGACCACTTAGCGACTTGAAACATGTACCAATCGATTCCTGCCATAATTTAGAACAATATTGTCGAAGAAAGTTTTCAAAAATATCCTTTCGTTCGGTCACAAAATTTTTTTTTAATTAATTAAAATTTGGACCGAATTAGTAGGCATTTTATCCAACCACACCACACGCGTCATCAGGTTCAATAGCTGCGCCATCACGTTCAATGGCTGCGACATCACATTCGGTAGCTAGGCGCGCAATGGTTTTTAGTCATGTAACTCTATTGTAAATAAAACATGTAAAATACTGAAAAAAATAAAATAAAAAACGTTTTAATAACTAACCAATGGTTTTACTAACCCTGCTCTTGATTTACGCTACGACAGAGCTATTTTTAGATAACATAAGGAAATTGCGCTTAAATGTCACTAGACTTTTTAATTAACTTGTTTTTATTTAAGCGTTTATCTATATTTTCAAATTTCACTCTTTTCTAATTATTGTTTTCTCTATGCCTGAAATGTATGATTTAATTTTATTTCTTAACAAATAAATTTGATATAACTAAAAAATTGTTTTTTTTTTCTTTTAATGTAAGTATCAATACGCTAGGCATATCAGTGATTTCATTTTTTTTGACACATTGGCTACCCCTACTTTTGATAAAACAAATGATGAGTTAATATCCTTGGCTACAAAGATCTTCTAAATTTTTATCTGCAATATTTAATGTCTATTGGTATATAGGTTTTCAAAACACCAGACATAAATCATTATTCTGGTGAATCTTAAATCAGTCTATTGAAATCTCGATTATCAAATGTTTTCATACTTTGAGATAATTACATTGTGTAGAGCAGCTATCCTATCGTCCTATCCTCTACATCTGTCGGACGGTTGTTGGGACACCATGGCTGCATCTTCCCCAATGCCTTGCTATTCATCTCATGCCCTCAGTAAGTCTACAAAAGACGACCTGGTCCAGTCCCTGATATCTTACAACCATTTTTTTAATTTGTTATCACCACCCCCACCCACAAACACAAACACACACACACCACTATGCTTTGCAGGATTATATTCGAAAAGCCTCTGCTTCTTGTGAAGTATCCATAGCAACTGAATGTGTTAGCCCTGACAATGCTAAGCAAATCTTTAAAAACACTGATTGGGTTGATGAACCTTTCACTGGCCTCGTCATTAAAACATTATTTTATCATATGATCCGTGTATGAAATGCACATTCACTTATAAAGTCTTGTAAAAATTAACAAGTAAAGTTAACAAGTTAAGTAAAACTGATATAGGAAAGGATTTGAATATTATTGGGGCATGACAACGGTACACCGCTAAGTTCCATTTCTGATATATGTAGCTTTAGCTCTGTTATATGAAGAGAGTTGAAAAGTATTTCCATATATCGTTGAAAGAAACTTATGATTAAATCTTTTCAACTAAATCATGATAATTGTTAAACACTTTAGCATCCTGCTGCGTTTTGGCCGCTTGTCTAAAACAGCCTATTTTACTCAAAAAATATACTTTTAGTGTGGTTTAAGAAAGTTTTAATGTTTTTAGCGTCAGATATGAGCTCTTATCTGTGATTTGCAGCAGTAGATAAATAGTTCCCAGTTTACGATGCCCCCCTAATCAGGATCATCCTATGTTTTATTGCCACTATTGTACTAATACAGTTGGTCATGATTAGACCAATGAATCTTGAGCGTTTTTCAATGCTTTCCACATTCCGAAGCGGATTAACATGGCAACAGCTGTGTTGTTACGCATACCATATAAAAGACGCGAGGAAACCCTACTGTTATGATGTATGTTTGACGAGGTTTAGGTCTAGGTCTAGGTCTAGGTCTAGGTCTAGGTCTAGGTCTAGGTCTAGGTCAAGGTCTAGGTCTAGGTCTAGGTCTAGGTCTAGGTCTAGGTCTAGGTCTAGGTCTAGGTCTAGGTCTAGGTCTAGGTCTAGGTCTAGGTCAAGGTCTAGGTCTAGGTCTAGGTCTAGGTCTAGGTCTAGGTCTAGGTCTAGGTCTAGGTCTAGGTCTAGGTCTAGGTCTAGGTCTAGGTCTAGGTCTAGGTCTAGGTCTAGGTCTAGGTCTAGGTCTAGGTCTAGGTCTAGGTCTAGGTCTAGGTCTAGGTCTAGGTCTAGGTCTAGGTCTAGGTCTAGGTCTAGGTCTAGGTCTAGGTCTAGGTCTAGGTCTAGGTCTAGGTCTAGGTCTAGGTCTAGGTCTAGGTCTAGGTCTAGGTCTAGGTCTAGGTCTAGGTCTAGGTCTAGGTCTAGGTCTAGGTCTAGGTCTAGGTCTAGGTCTAGGTCTAGGTCTAGGTCTAGGTCTAGGTCTAGGTCTAGGTCTAGGTCTAGGTCTAGGTCTAGGTCTAGGTCTAGGTCTAGGTCTAGGTCTAGGTCTAGGTCTAGGTCTAGGTCTAGGTCTAGGTCTAGGTCTAGGTCTAGGTCTAGGTCTAGGTCTAGGTCTAGGTCTAGGTCTAGGTCTAGGTCTAGGTCTAGGTCTAGGTCTAGGTCTAGGTCTAGGTCTAGGTCTAGGTCTAGGTCTAGGTCTAGGTCTAGGTCTAGGTCTAGGTCTAGGTCTAGGTCTAGGTCTAGGTCTAGGTCTAGGTCTAGGTCTAGGTCTAGGTCTAGGTCTAGGTCTAGGTCTAGGTCTAGGTCTAGGTCTAGGTCTAGGTCTAGGTCTAGGTCTAGGTCTAGGTCTAGGTCTAGGTCTAGGTCTAGGTCTAGGTCTAGGTCTAGGTCTAGGTCTAGGTCTAGGTCTAGGTCTAGGTCTAGGTCTAGGTCTAGGTCTAGGTCTAGGTCTAGGTCTAGGTCTAGGTCTAGGTCTAGGTCTAGGTCTAGGTCTAGGTCTAGGTCTAGGTCTAGGTCTAGGTCTAGGTCTAGGTCTAGGTCTAGGTCTAGGTCTAGGTCTAGGTCTAGGTCTAGGTCTAGGTCTAGGTCTAGGTCTAGGTCTAGGTCTAGGTCTAGGTCTAGGTCTTGGTCTAGGTCTAGGTCTAGGTCTAGGTCTAGGTCTAGGTCTAGGTCTAGGTCTAGGTCTAGGTTACTATTTAAAAAGTGTTGTAGCGAGCAAATTTGTCCAATACAAGATTTATTTAAAGAATGTGGTAATAGGATTGCACTTTTTTTACAACTTTGAACAACCCCCCCCCCACGTAACCCCTTCTCCCCTCACAAGCCAATGTTACACTCTCCTTTGTTTAACTTTTTTATATTTTCAAAAAGGTGGAAGCTTTAAATCTTATTTTAGCCATACGTTTAAACATTAACGACGTACTTTTGCTGATAGGCGGTAATAGGGACGTAAAGATATTGGTGACGATAAAAAGATTACAACTCAGGCGAATGGCAGACAGCAACACATGGAACATACATTTTTCAAAACATGCAGTTTAACCTTCTTCATCAGATTTCTCAAAATTTTGGTAGAGAACCCTTGAATCTTTATGATTAAAGCAAAAAAACAAAATAAAAAAAAAACTGTATAGTTTTTTGTACTATTCACGTACTTCGCATCTTAATGCAGTTCAAATTTTTAGCTTGGTTCCTTTTTTTTCGTGTTTTTGACTTAGTTTGTATTTGTGCCATTACTCTTATTTTTGAAGTAGCTCTCAGGTTTGACGTACTTCGTACGTCTGAAGTAGATTGTATCTTTGACGTGGTTCGTATGTTTAAGTAGTTCGCATTTCGGACGTAGTTTGTATGTTTGACATAGTTCTTATTTTTGACGTAGTTAGTATTTTTAAAGTTGTTTATATTTTTAACTAGTTCATATATTCGACTTAGTTCTTAATTTTGACGTAGCTTGTATGTTTGATGAGTTCGTATTTTTGACGTATACATTTTTGAAGTAGTTCGTATTTTCTGACGTAGTTTGAGTGCTTAGATTTTGCATCCACATTTTCAAAACATGACATAATACGCTCTATACTTATGGACACTATCTTCAGAAAAAGACCAAGCCACTAGAAATAATTTATGACTATTGTAATTATTTCCACAACATTTTAAAATTGAAACCTGTGTAGCAGCCATATGTGGGATAGTGGGATTATCTGGCAGAATAAACGTGGGATGGTGTGCTTGTGTGCGACAAACAGTATGTGAGGTGGTGCGGCTATGTGGGAGAACGCGGGTTTTATAACCTAACAATACCTATTTATGTAGCTACGCACCCCAAAGATAAAAAGCAAATAACGAAAAATCTCAACCGACCTTGTTTTAAATTTTAAGCAATGCTTGACTTTGACCTTTAAAATGCAACATAACACTCGGATTATGGGAGACTTTAGTTTATAGCCCGGGGACAAGGATAAACCGTGAAAAACACAACCGGTGAGTTGCCACGAATCAGTCTGCCCTCCAACTAAGAAGTAAGTACATTGGCTGGTTGAAAATGTATTTGTTTGTTTACAGCTTAAAAAAATAAAAATAAATAACGTTTTAATATCAAGCTTTTATGTAATAATGCACTAAAACGTAGAACATAAATGATTTTCTTTAAATATATATTCACACACTACTATTTAAATTACTATACAGAAAAGCGTGGGTCACTTTATTATCTATTGGATATCTTTGCTAATATTAAATAGGAGACCCACGCTTTTCTTTATAGTTATTTAAATGTTAGTGTATTATTATATCTTTAAAGAGAATCTACTTTTTAGTACATTATTACATAGAAGCTTGTTATTAAAACGTTCATTATGTTTTTTTAAAAGTATTTTAATTGCTTGTTATTTAAAAATAGTGGCATGACTAAAAACTATTGCGCACCTAATTAACGTGATAACGCGTGTAGTTAGATAAGACTGCCTACTAATTTGGTCAACATTTTCATTAAATAATTAAAAAAATAATTATGCATCCAATTAAGTCAAACTTAATGTCAGATTGCATTGTCTTCATGTCTTGACCCACGTGCCAACTTTGAACAGAATCTGTCAGGTAGAAGTGCACGTAATTTCACTCGGGCTTTTAGATCTAGACAGACTGACGACAGAGGAAGCATGTCAAAAAAAAAAAAGCCTAGAAATAAAATTCATAAAAAATGTTTTAATTACAATAATCTTTTATGCACTAAAAGGTAGAAAATAAAGTATTGACTACTATTTACATAACTATAAAGAAAAGCGTGGGTTGTTATAAGCTGTGAAAATCGATAGTGTCAAATTTATTTCGATAACAATTGAGGTCATAGTGAAAAACTTTCCCTTTTAGGGTATGACTAAATGACTAATTTCACGCGGACTAAAAAATCTGAAACGTCCTAGTATAAGCTTTCGGATTGTCTGAAATATCAGGATTTAGGATTATCCATGTTGTGTGACAAAATATTTCTAGATATGACGTATAACCTTCTGCTGTCTTCACTAGTGTAGAAGGAAATGGATCCTAAATTAATTATAACATTTCAATGACTAAATTTCATTATTTCAGTGGCTGCATCGATACACTTAAATAAATTAAATTAAATTTGTTTTTCAATTATAATGTTTTATTTTTTTTATACCTAGTTCAGATGGCTAATTTAGTTTTGCTGGTGCTGCTTGTTACACTAATTTGGTCGGACGCTGTCTACGGTTAGTCAAATAATAGTCAATATATAAAACTTCTAATACAAACTAACAAAAAAATATTTATGCTTACGTAACTAAAATAAACCTTGCAGTAAAAGTTATATAACTTGCATAATCGACCTTGACGGTCCATTGGGCAGATAAAGGAGAGTTCACCTGTTACTGTTACCTCTGCATAAGAAGGGTAGTAAGGTCAGCATATTTCCAGCCGCCTTTACATTCCCTAACGTAAGATGGGTAGAAATCAGACGTATATCTATCCATCTATCTATCTATTATATATATGTGACGAGCGAACATTTATCCTGCCGACAACGCCAATTGTAACGAGCCAACAGTTACCATGCTCGCAACGCCACATGTAATGAGACCTAATTGCCTGTAGTGCCACGTGTTAACGAGTTTAACCACTCATTCTAGACAACATTGACCACAGTATAGATACTCAAGATGCAGGTTCGCTATTGATCCTTTATTACATGAATCAAGAAATGCTTCATAATAACACAATAAATCAACAGGAATGCTTCTCAATAATAGTCTGAATCAACTGACCCCTAACAGTCCTTCACTAGGCTTTATATAACTGAATCCACATGTCTATAATCCTCCTTAACACAATACGGCTAACCCGTTCTATAACCGACTTGACATAGTCACACAGACTGACTGATCTAAGCGAGCGATGAAGATGGAAGAGAGCTCGCTGAAACGGGAAGAGAGAGAGAGAGAACGAGTCCTGCTGTCCCCTCCTATTTATGCCTTGTATCCGTACTCGTTTCCGTACTTGTATTCCTCCGTAATCGATACTTGTACTCGATCTCCGACCACCAGTTGCGTAGTTCAAACGTACAGACCGTAAAATAACATCTGCGTCCTATCCATCAAAGTTGACAGGCCGTCTGAATACCGTTTCCCAAAATAGCACGCGTTGGCTTTGAGGTTGTTATCAGCCCGACCCAATAAGCCACCTGTTATCGGTTGCATCAGACCAACACTGTGTCTCGGGTTCTCGTTCGTTATCATTTGTAACTGGTAGTTAGGCCTACCCCAGTTACATATATATATATATATATATATATATATATATATATATATATATATATATATATATATATATATATATATATATATATATATATATATATATATATATATATATATATATATATATATATATAGGTCAATGTGCGGCGTATTTTCCCGTTACTTCGACTTTTGCACCTGCAAGTGTCAATACGAACCAAGTAAGAACAGTTTAATTTTTAGCCCTTTTTTAGTTCACATGGTTCGATTGTTCCTTACGCCAGTGTGTAGTTTTATGGTCCAACTTTCGTATGAGTGTTGTTATGTTTTTTGCTGTTTTTTTTCAGTTTGCAGTTTTCAACACTAAAAATCTACTTCATTTTTATTTACTAAACAATCTCCACCAAATGTTTAGTAATTTTTCTTATTGCAAAACCAGAACTTTTGTCACGAGGGAATTGGGATAGATTTTTGAGAAAAAAAGTTTATGGTACATAATAATTTGCAAAATGTGAACCTTTTGCATACGACACTTTACAGAATTTCGACCAGTAGCTCTTTCAAAAAGTTGTTGTCACAAAAAGTTCTAAAATATACTGAAAAATAAGCCGTTTAAATTTGATTGCTATAAATGCTCAGATAAAAAAGCCTTAGCCTTTTGAAAAGTTTAAAATGGTGGAGGTTGTTTCGGGTTTCCATGACAACCAAAATTTTCAAGCATCAAACATGGTTAAAGTATTAAAATGGCTTTAGATCTTAAATTGTAAAAAAAAAATAAGCTGAGCACATACCCTTAAAAAAGTTATGGAAAATGTGATTAGCTCTTCAGGTTCGTAATGACAAACCAGTGTTTTTTTTAGTGCAATTCACTATAATAGTTTCGCTATTCTATATTTCTGTCTGTCTGTCCGGAACGCTCTAGAGAAAACACGAGGATGTTAAAAAAATTTACAATCAAATGAAAAACAAAACTTCCCACTACAGTGACGTAACATGGAACAAATAGGCGATTTTTAAAACAAAGCGAAATGCCACAAGATAATCATGTCATCGATACGCGATATAAAAGATACTAACATTACCGCCTACATTTTTGGTCTAATCTTTAAAGAGCTCTGCATGTAGAGTTTCTTTCAGAACAGAAATAAAATATAGATAGAAAGTGTTTACTTTACCAGTGTCAGCCACCCTCTCCCCGGGAGAATTTAATCCGCCCCCGCTAAAATTTCAAATGCCCCCACCGGAGAAAAAAAAAGTCTGAAAGAAACACTGTCTGCATGTTTGTAGTTATGCGGCCAAAAGCAGGAAACGGGTTTAGATTATAGATATCGGGTCTACCTTTAACCTGTGCGACCTACTTTTTTTTTCAAATTTGTTTGTCCCGTGGAGGGGGGGGGGGGGGAACTGACATTTTCAAAGCGGGTGGGGGGCGGATTAAATTTTCCGGAGAGGGGGGCAGACACTGGTAAAAAATATATTTTCTATATAAATTCTATTTCGTTCGATGGGGCGGTGGGCGGTAGCCATTTGAGCCCTCCCCCTCCCACTCGATGAGTTGCCTGAATTAAACTCCAAATACGACTTTTTGCAATTTTGAGCTAAGGTGCAAGGTTTAGGAGTATGAATACGACTATTTAGTATCAATGTGCAGTAACTACGTTTAGATCAAGGTTACCAGATAAAGTATTGTGGTAATGTCTACATTTAGCGTCTTTACAAAAAACATAGATTGGCGTCATTGATAGCTGAATGGGATTAAGAATTTAAAGATTTAAAATCTTTTATACACGTGTGTTTTGTAAAACAATTGCTCACCAAACGAACACGATAGAGCTCGTATAATGGTGCGGAATTGTAGTAATAGGCGAGTCTACTAATTTAAAAAAAAATAATGTAAAAAAAAAAGTTAAATCTATTTTCAGATTGCATTGTCGAGCCCAATTAAAGAAAACTTGGTCGGTTAGAAATGCCCGAAATTTCGTTCGCCTGTTTCGATCTCGATAGAGACAGATAGACATAAGCATAGAACGACAAAAAGACAGACAGAGGAAGCAAGTTAAATAAAAGCTTGTAAAAACACTAACATTTTTTTTCTGTAGGCTTGCTATGAATACTGTCTGGCTACACCCAATTGCTTATATTATACTTCCAGCCCTATCCTATGTGCTATAGCAATAGCTGCTGTGGTTGATCCTGCCATCAGTAATGTTGGCTATGTATCCTGCGGCTCCAGTAAGTAGGATTTAAAGTGTTCTTACCGTATGTGCAATGCCGGTAACTTTTAGTGTACGGCGTGACATTTGACAGAAGGGCTTAATGTTACATTCAGTGTGAAGCCTGAACACCTTTAATGTGGCAAAGTGCAGCAGGAGGTGCCTCTAATGGGTTCCAAAATCTGACCATGTTCAAAATTCAAAATTTTTATTTTTAAATTTTATTTGGGGTTGTTTTTTTTTTTATTACTATGGCTGCGTTTTAAGTTTTATTTATTAATTTGAATTTTCTCTTGAATTTCTTTGGCTTTCGCCCCATCTATAAATATAAAAGGCAATGTATGTGTGTGTTTGTCTGTCTGTCTGTTTGTCTTTTATGCATTACTACATCTTTCGTCCGATCGCCTTGAAACGTTTTGAAGTTGTCGAGAAAACTACTAAAGAGGTATCTGCGAAAAAAATTTTCAAATTCGCAGGTGTGGCGCACTGACAGGTCGCGATTTTAATCTTCTCTATATACGGCATTTTTAAAAAAAGCCGATTTCGGTTAGACATCGTTCATCCGATCGCCAGGATACTTTGGGAAGAAGTTTTTGAGAATACTACTGGGACAGTTTCTGCAAGAAAAAATAATTCATTTTGCACGTAAGGCACCCCGGCATGGAGCAATTTGGCGTCCCTAGTTAATCCGTGAGTGCTATGTAACGAAATATTGTGGTTAGCAAATCTTAATAGTCCCGATTTTTTTTGGTCAAATATCTTAGAAAGTTGTGCTTGATTATTCGGCGCTGGAGATCAAGACTATCACAATCACGACTCAAGCATTAAGTTATCATCGTGAACTTTGACCCAACCCATCTCGTCTTTTAGAAGACCATGAAATGTGAAAACAGCTGTTTGCATATCACAAGTCGGTCTCATGACCAATTGTATCGTTTTCCATTTTTGGAAACAAATAGCTTCGCGTTTTCTGAGGGTTACTGTACATAGCGTTTATTCTGGCACTTTCAATGTACATATTACCTTAAGGAAATGATGTGACTCAACGGGATTTAGGAGGTGTTAGTTTAAATACTTTAAAAACGCAACGTGCTGAACTGTAAAGTAACGAAACAATTTTTTCTTAGGGCCACCGAAAGACGGTCTACTTCGTGTCAACGACCTTCTAAACTCAAGAAGCATTTTCTTGTTTGAGTAAGTTTTCATCTTATATATATATATATATATATATATATATATATATATATATATATATATATATATATATATATATATATATATATATATATTTATTTATTTATTTATTTATTTATTTATTTATTTATTTATTTATTTATTTATTTATTTATTTATTTATTTATTTATTTATTTATTTATTTATTTATTTATTTATTTATTTATTTATTTATTTATTTATTTATTTATTTATTTATTTATTTATTTATTTATTTATTTATTTATTTATTTATTTATTTATTTAAATACGCTTATTTTAATTGCATTGAAATTCATCTTATAGCATTTTCTTTTTAATTTGAATTTTCTCTCAATTATCTAAGTTCAAAGACAGTATCGTCGTATGTCCATGCGTGTTAATATACGTGATTTTTTTTCCAGCGAGACGAGAGCTCTACTACAACAGCAGCCACAGTGTACATGCCCACTCCCATGATAATGTGTAAGTTATGAGTTCATCTAATGGTCAATGTAGGGACAGGGAGGGTCGCACACTGGGAGTTTTAAATTCGAATAAGTCATTTTAGTATTCATAATAACTCACGTTCATGCTTGTATTCGTATTCTTTTATATACAGTTTAGCAGCATTTATTGGTGGCACGAACTTTTTAAAGTTCAGCACAGAAGATCAGACTTTGAAACAAATAAAATTATAATATATAAAGCGTAAATAGACTCTTGTGTCGAGTTTTGCTGTTTTTGATTTGTAAGCGCTGTGAAAGGTGGCGTTGTTGGTTATGCTGTTGGATCTTCCTGCTATGGTGTGTCTGGGTGTGCTCGATGGTAATGGTTCGTCCAGTGTTAGTGTTGTCGGTGATTCTTTATGTGGTGTGTCTGGGTGTACTAGCTGGCAACAGTTCGTCCTGTGTTAGTGTTGTCGGTGATTCTTTATGTGGTGTGTCTGGGTGTACTAGCTGGCAACAGTTCGTCCAGTGTTAGTGTTGTCGGTGACTCTTTATGTAGAGTGTCTGGGTGTGCTAGATAGCAATGGTTCGTCCAGTGTTAGGGTTGTCGGTGATTCTTTATGTGGAGTGTCTAGGTGTGCTAGCTAGCAATGGTTCGTCCAGTGTTAGTATTGTCGGTGATTCTTTATGTGGTGTGTCTATGTGTGCTAGCTAGCAATGGTTCGTCCTGTGTTAGTGTTGTCGGTGATTCTTTATGTGGTGTGTCTGGGTGTGCTAGCTAGCAATGGTTCGTCCTGTGTTAGTGTTGTCGGTGATTCTTTATGTGGTGTGTCTATGTGTGCTAGCTAGCAATGGTTCGTCCAGTGTTTTTGTGTTGTCGGTGATTCTTTATGTGGTGTGCCTGGGTGTGCTAGCTAGCAATGGTTCGTCCTGTGTTAGGGTTGTCGGTGATTCTTTATGTGGTGTGTCTATGTGTGCTAGCTAGCAATGGTTCGTCCAGTGTTAGTGTTGTCGGTGATTCTTTATGTGGTGTGTCTATGTGTGCTAGCTAGCAATGGTTCGTCCAGTGTTTTTGTGTTGTCGGTGATTCTTTATTTGGTGTGTCTATGTGTGCTAGCTAGCAATGGTTCGTCCTGTGTTTTTGTGTTGTCGGTGATTCTTTATATGGAGTGTCTGGTGTACTAGCTGGCAACAGTTCGTCCTGTGTTAGTGTTGTCGGTGATTCTTTATGTGGAGTGTCTAGGTGTGCTAGCTAGCAATGGTTCGTCCAGTGTTAGTATTGTCGGTGATTCTTTATGTGGAGTGTCTAGGTGTGCTAGCTAGCAATGGTTCGTCCTGTGTTAGGGTTGTCGGTGATTCTTTATGTGGTGTGTCTATGTGTGCTAGCTAGCAATGGTTCGTCCAGTGTTAGTGTTGTCGGTGATTCTTTATGTGGTGTGTCTATGTGTGCTAGCTAGCAATGGTTCGTCCTGTGTTTTTGTGTTGTCGGTGATTCTTTATGTGGAGTGTCTGGTGTGCTAGCTAGAAATGGTTCGTCCTGTGTTAGTGTTGTCGGTGATTCTTTATGTGGTGTGTCTGGGTGTGCTAGCTAGCAATGGTTCGTCCTGTGTTAGTGTTGTCGGTGATTCTTTATGTGGTGTACCTGGGTGTGCTAGCTAGCAATGGTTCGTCCAGTGTTAGTGTTGTCGGTGATTCTTTATGTGGTGTGTCTATGTGTGCTAGCTAGCAATGGTTCGTCCAGTGTTAGTGTTGTCGGTGATTCTTTATGTGGTGTGTCTATGTGTGCTAGCTAGCAATGGTTCGTCCTGTGTTTTTGTGTTGTCGGTGATTCTTTATGTGGTGTGTCTATGTGTGCTAGCTAGCAATGGTTCGTCCTGTGTTTTTGTGTTGTCGGTGATTCTTTATGTGGAGTGTCTGGTGTGCTAGCTAGCAATGGTTCGTCCAGTGTTAGTGTTGTCGGTGATTCTTTATGTGGTGTACCTGGGTGTGCTAGCTAGCAATGGTTCGTCCAGTGTTAGTGTTGTCGGTGATTCTTTATGTGGTGTACCTGGGTGTGCTAGCTAGCAATGGTTCGTCCAGTGTTAAGTGGAGGAACAGAGCTGACATATCTGTCTTCTCTCGGTGATTGCGATTAGGATATTTAAGATATTTAATGTTTTGTTTTTGTAGTTTATTTTGATATAGTTTGGTATGGTTGAAAGCAGTGTTTCTTCCAGAGATTTTCTCAGGGGGGCAGGGGGGCACTTGAAATTTTCGGGGGTGGGGGGTGGGGTTGACTTTTTTCGGGGGGGGGGGGGGGGCGGACACTGTTAAAAGTATATATTTTCTATATAAATTATATAAAATTCATTTCGTTCGGGGGGAGGGGGGGGGGGGCGGTATAAACTCTGGTTGAATGTCTGTTAGTGTAGATCGAAAAGCTGCGATTACTAGTGTGTTGGATTGCGTTTATGGATGGCTCTTTGTTGAATGGGCGTAGTTCTTGTATGAGTGTTCAGTTGTTAATTGTCGGGGTACCCGTCTAAGTGTCTCGTTCATTTTGTCGTTTTCATTTGTTTTATTAAACTACTTGAGTCACGGCCACTACTTGTGCTGGTAATAATTGCTTTTTTTCCCGTGCTTGATTTAATAGTGCTTAATGTTTGGGAGTTTATGTTCTACGTTTTAGTGAATAATTACACAACATAAGCTTGTTATTAAACCTGGGGGGGGGGGGTGACACCATTAGGTGCCCCATCGGGTGACACCCGACCTTGCGACGCCACTGTACTTTGGTACCTCATTACGAGTTTTCCCAAATGTACTTAACACATAAGTTCGGTGTGTGTGTGTGTGGGGGGGGGTCAAATTCATTCACCACTGTCCTGTCACTTTAGGTCTATTATTTTACCCAGCGTATACCTAGGTGTGACATTAATGTCGCTTTACACAATTACGACTTGTCCAGTTCTAGTGGTGAGGTGGGGGGGGGGGGGGGGAGAATAATCAACTCAGTTAACTTAGCGTCAGTTTTTAGGTGACTGCTCTAACATATATAATTATACATATATACTGATTCAGAAAAGGATTTAAATAAGTAACTGCGGAATTATGACAGTAAACATTTTTTAGCCACATCGTCCAAGTTCCCAGCGACGGAAAGTTAGGTCATTGTCCGCCATCTTATCAGCTCAGCTTTGTGTCATTGTATAACCACTGGACTTCTCAACCAGCGTTTGGATGAGATTGTTGCGTCATCACATTGACCAACAGAAGTTACTCCTACACCCGCCTCACGGGAATTTAAGTCCAGCAACGCCACAACCTACCCACCGCAGAGAAATTCAACAATTACATAACACTTACACAAACACTTACACTGCTCGCTGTGCCCTTCAACCAGCACACCTGTTTGTTAAGTGGTTCACTATCATTTTGTCGGATTTCAACATACTTGTATTCTATTAGGACATATACAGTATCTGTTTACGAATTTTAAAATATTTTTTTAAATACTAATGGGATTTTTGTTTTCAGAAATATACCTATTTTGGCTAAGCTAGTAAAAATACGAGTCGAAGCAAAAGCATTACAAAAAAAAAAAAAAAAACAAACAGCAGAAACAGATGGGCAGATGGGTCGGGAAATTTGATGGTGAACGTACCCACGTTTTTTGTCAGTCATCACAAGAATCTGCACAGCTCGCGGAAGCACACAAGAAAAAATTATTTTCTACTTTTTAGTCCACAAGAAAAACGTGGTTTTTTAAAAAGTTTTTTTTAAGTATTTTATTTATAAACTGAATTAAGAACACAATTATTACAGAGGCTTTTTTATAAATAGTTGTTTGTTTTGTTTTTAAAATAAAAAGGTTTTGTCGTAAAAACATAGTAGATTGTCTAATATTTTGGAGCAGTAAAATAAAAACCCGTGTAAGATAATTATAGAACGTATTCGCATTTATAAAAGGAATCGCCGAAGCATGAAAACAAAACAAAAACAGAATCTCAAGTTGTAAACAGTAGAGTAGGGTTAATAAACAACCTTAGTGTGTTTGTTTTTTAATTGGCTGACTTTGTTGGGATGAGGTACTAGAAGTTGTTGACGATACATCAAATAGACACAACTTTAAAGGTAAACACCTTGATACTTAACTTAGTAGCGGTTTAATTTAAGCCTATTTTTGCAAACCACGTTATTGGAGGTTGAAGTGCAAGTTTGAACAGACACTGATACTTTATTAGGCAGATGCCTATGTTTGACTTTCTAAATTTGTATTGTGGTTTATTTCTATTTAAGGTAGGTTGACAATTATTTATTAGATAATGGGTGTAGACAGAACGAGATAGGGTTATATTTGACCAAAACAGTAATTTTAAAATGAAAGGATTTTAACTTTTGACGAAGCAATAAATAGTTTTTTTAAACATTGATAAACGATAAAATTTACGAGGTTAAAAAGTGGTTTTCGTTGTTATATTATAAGTCTATCTAAAAAACGAAAAAATATTTGAAAATCTAGATCTTAAAAGCAAAGTAACGTGTGGATATTTGATGATATTTTTGCTGACTTTTAGAATTAGTTCAAACGGCAAAATTTACTGATTTTAAAACTGTATATTTATCTTTAGATTAACCAGTCAAGTTTTTGAACTATGGGGGCCTTAGAAAGTAGTCTTCAAGATTTGAATTTCTTGTTGATTGGAAAAAGTTCTACAGCCAACTCCATCTTGAGAAAAAATGTCTTTAGGATTGCTACCAGCATGACCGCGTGCACGAAGGACGTGGGGCTGTAAAGTTTTGTGGGTGAGCAAAGGAAGATCAACCTCGTAGACACGCCTGGGTTAGCTGATACAGTAAACGATGTGATCGAAGATGCTAAGTTCGCAAGGAGGAATATGACAAAAGCGTTTTAATATGTGAACTACTTTCACGCGGTTCTCTTGTTTTTACGTTACAAGGATAACATGTATTCGAAAGAAGATGCAAGAGTTATAGATATGATAGAAGCTATTTTTGGAACAGATGTGGTGCGTAAACATTGCATTATTGTTGTAACACACGGGGATGATTTTTCTAAAGACGCGGAGAACATTCTAGATTTAACCTTTACTGGGTGGTGCGACCAACAACAGGGGGAACTACGGGCACTGTTTCAGGAATGTCAGTCAAGGATCGTGTTAATCAACAACAAAGGCAATGAAGAAGATAAAGAGAAAAGTCTTTCTCAAATTCTTGAATTTTCAAAAGTAATAAAAGCTCGAGGAAACATTTATTCAATAAAAGATTACATTTACAATGTACGTAATCGAAACAAACTAATACTTACTGTATTTTTATCCGAATTAAAAAATATGTTCAGTGAAAAATTGCAACGTATGTCTTTGGATTTAGATCTTATTTTATCTGGAGAAGAAACAATTCTTAAGAGATGTAAGTCTATTTTAGGGGAGCACAGTAATGAATCTGAACTGTTATCATCGGCGCATGGTAAAATTAAACAATATGTTGTCTTGAAGGAAGAAACACCTTTCAATAGCGATAAAATAAACTCAAGTTACGCTGAGTTAAAGAGTGTTTTTAGAAAGCCTTTACTGAAAGATCTGACGGATCTGTGTCTCCAGTTCTCAAAGATGGAGGCGCCCATGGTGCTTGTGTCTGAACTACGAGACAGAGCTGATCTACTGCTGAAGCAGATCAGAGATAAAGCTCAAGGCACAAGTCTGCTTGATTCTTTGGAAGCAGAAGTTCTCAAGTTCCAGAAAAACTTATCTGAAAGTGTACATCATTGGTAGAAAATATTTTTTAAAATAAAGTCTCAGTTGCTAGGGCCGATTGAAGATGTTTTATAATCTTATTTTCTGTTTTAAGTTTTATGTTGATTTTCTGTTTTAAGTTTTATGTTGACCAAAATCTAAGATTTGAATGTGTTTTAATTCGAACATTTTTTAATAATAATAACTCAATGAAACATTTTGAATTCGTGACTATGACATTGCCAGGCCCTATATCGGCTATTTAGTTTTGTCTAGAGTCTATAAGGGTTGATTTCTACTTATTTTAATTGTTGATGAAGAGGATATACATTTATTGGTGTTTTACCTCTATTACAAAAGTGAGGTATCTTCATTCAGCCAATGAAAAATGTTTTGATGAAGAGGATATACATACATTTGTGTTGCACATCTTGCAAAAAATGAGGTATCTACATTTTAATGACAATTAAAATTGTTTTGATGAAGAGGATACACATTCATTCGTGCACTAAATCGACATACAAAATTGACAGTGTCAAGAAAAAGTACCTTAATGCCGATGTCATTTTAAAATTCTTTTTTAATGTTCTTGTAATTCATCCAACCTGCGTCTTTTGTGTAACTTACTGAAAGAGAACGACTACGCTATGTAAACTTTAACATATAATATGCCTTTAAATTTTAATATACATTTATGTATGTAAATACCAGTGTAGTTTGAATTATATGTGTATTTCTTCATATGGATATTTTATAAATAATCTTTTAAATGAAATATTAGCTTGTCAACATTTAAAAATAAAATAAAATAGGCGTATTCAAATAAATTGGACAATAAATATTAGTTTCTAAATGAAGCAAAAGAAACATAATCATTTAATATCGGAGTTTAACAGCTTAAAATTTGCAAGGGAAAGAATTAGGGAATACCCTCTTAACAGAGTTAAAACTGTGATTCCTCCCCTTGTCTGCTACATTTCAGTAACTGCCAAAACTATTTTTATTTATATTTTTAATTATATTAATAAGAACACAATGAAAAAATGAGCACATTTTAGTGCACACTTTAGAACTGTCTAAAATTGTATTAAAAATTTTATAGTCGTTTTTTTAAAAATATATTTTAAAATATTATCACCAGAAAATTAACACAATAATTGAAATAATTAATTAAACATCCCTTTTACATTAGGTAAAATTATTCTAATTTACTTCTGTTTTTCTAGACAAACTCTTTTATTTCTGCAACTAGTTTTACTTATTAATTGTATTTAAAAACGTGTAATGCAGTTTTTTTAAGCCTAAATGGTATATTTATTGAATTTCTGCCTCTTATCAGTTTAGTCCTTAAAAAACTAATTTGTGCAAGAAATAGATATTAAAGAAATCTCTATGTAAATGTATTTAACTCTAGACACAATACGAGTCACCTAATCCCTACCCCACCCCCTATACGGTTCTCTTATGATGGGACTGTTCTTTCCCTATTGGTTCTACTTTACGTGTTGTGCTAAGTAAAACAAATCTCTTATCTACAGTAAACACGGTCGTGTGGCTGTTCACTAGAAGATAAAGAAAACAAAAACACACCTTAGAATATACAACCTGTGCTCTATAAATAGAATAAAACGTGTGATTTATATATCAAGAAGACAAGTAAGGGAAAACCAGGAGTTTATTTTTATCCACGTTCTATCGATTAACGCCCCTTACACCAGCTGTGCTAGTGAGGCTGTAGAGTAAAGTTGTGTTGTTGTAGCTACGATTCTGTTTATCTGTCACAGTATTATCGGTAAGTTTCTGATTACTTTGTTTCGTTTACGTGATGGGTAAAATGTTATAGACTGAGCAAAAACAATGTGGATGATTGAAAAAGACTAGTACAATTATGATATGACTTTGCATAATCATATTAATTAGATTAGAAAAAAGTCTTAAAGTAACACTAGAAGTGATTTATTCATAACATTGCCTTGCCATCTTTGTTATGTATTTTTTAAAAGGCATTTACAGATCATGGGCAAATAGTTATATAATCAAGCATAGAAAAGACACTAACAAAAATGTGATTTTTTTAATTTCACAGACTACTTAGATTATTATAGTTATTATGCTTCTCTGTTTGTAAATATATCTTATACTTTTTAAATTTTGATTTCATACAGATTCTAACATGGCTTCGTCAAGCAAAATACACATTACGCTAGCACTGACCGGTAGGGTTGGTAATGGCAAAAGTGCTTGTGGGAATTCTATTTTAGGAAAGCGGGTTTTCCCAACAAGTGACGATGTTGAATCGTGTACCCACAAGAACAGAGTTGGAAGTGCCGAACGTATGAATACTGACATTAAAGTGATGGATACTCCTGGTGTTATGGATTGTGATGACTATCGGAATCTTGAAAACATTACTTTTCATTTGCCTGATGTGATAAGTATATGCCAGGAAGGGATAAATGCCTTTTGTTTGGTTTTAAAATACGGCGCTATAAATATGCAACAAGAAATACAAGCTGTAAAACAAATTAAAGAAGTTTATGGTAAGACCGTACTGAATGATTACGGTATTATTATAATGACCAACGGGGATAGTTTTGATCAAAATTACGATGGCAAAGAAGATAATTCATTTTTAAATTGGTGTAAGAAACAAACGGGAGATTTAGAAATATTAATGAAGGAGTGTAATTTTAGAGTGGTGCTTTTCTACAACACGGGAGGACAATACGAAACCAAAAGGGAAAGCTCAGTGGATCAGTTGCTGGGGTATGCCATTAGATTACATAGAATCGGACCTTACACTAAAACGTCATTTGAAAATAATTTTAAAGAGCGTGAAAAAGAAATTTTAGAACACAAATTATATGATTTAATTTTACCTTTTAGCAAACACATGGGCATAATGATGAATGATATCTTTCGGATAATAAAACAGGGATTTGCAAATGAGAATGATGTGCACTGCTTAAAAAAGTCAAATGAAGAGCTTTTGAAAAAGATATTCCACAAAGTTGAAGATACGAAGATACAAGCTAAGTTGTTCGAAAAAGTTCAGCTCATTCAAAGAAAGCTGGTAATATTAGACCTCAACAAACCAATAGCCGGGCAGTTGGATCAGGTTTTGAAGATATTAGAGGAATTAAAAAATCCTCCAATGTCTACTCAACTAAAAGTGTGTTTAGGAACAGCTGCAGCCGCTCTTTTATTAGCTGTGATTTTATGCCGGGAAAAGTAATAGAACATTTTTTTCCTATCTGGCTACGTTAGAGATGGTTACTATTGAGATAGGTAAATAAAATCTAAGGGCATTATACATGTTTTTTGGTGGACTTAATGTTTAGTAGCATTATAGTCACATTGCTTCAGACAATCCTATTATCAAACGGAAAAGTGAAGGGGAAAACGTGTTCTGGTAACCTGATTCTTATTATGATTTTCTTGTGAAATATTTTTTAAATATTATAATTAGTATAAAGAACAATCACAATAAACTTTCAATTTCCACCATAAAAATGAAACCGATTGAAATAAACTTTTTTTTTAAATTAAATTTAACTTGTTGTGTGTTTATTGGTTGGAAAATAACTATCAACAAAGAAAGTTATATGAGATCATTACATTCAATTTTTTCTCAAGTGTTTCAAAATCTATTTGAACATTATTTCTATGAAAAAGGTGTTTTACTTTTATATTGCAAAACATACAAGATTACATCCAACCTAAATAATGTTAAAATATCACACCAACCCATCTTTTAAATTACGAGAAAACAAGCACACTGAATTATATAACAAACTACACGGATATATCGCAAACGTAGATTACTAATTGCTCACATGTTATTTAAACAATGCGTAATGTGTTTTATTACCTCCTTATTGCTATTCACAACATTTTTATTGGTTTAAAGTGATTACTTTTCCCACTCACAATTTGTTTATTTCAAACTGTTAAAATAAACAATGTACATTTTCAAAATATATGTATTCAAAATTTTAAAACGACCTTTTAAATTTTGTACTAGACCCCTTAAAATTAGTAGTATAATTAGGGCTGATCTTAAAATAATTTATGTCAATTTACAAATATGCTTGCAGTTGTTCATTTTTAAGATTCAACAGGTGTTTGCTTATAAAAAAATAAATAAAAGATAACGCTATTGAAATGTAGGTCAACACTAACAGTACACATCCCTAGCCTAGTTCGCTGTTTTTCATCGCGCGTTCCGTTTGTCGAGGGAAAGTCAGATTTTCTGGAAAATTGGTTTTCCCGGAAGATGACGTTTTGAATTAGCGAGTAATGCGTTGTGGTGGGTGAGAAGAGGTGGGGGGGGGGGGGGGTGGAGTAGAACGAACTAATGATGTCGCCTCGTTGTGATATATATGAAAATACTTTTGCTCTTTACGGTTGTGCTTCATAGAGTTATATTTTAGAACTTTTGTGTTACCAATGAACTGTTAGTGGTTTCCTTTTTGTTTACTTAAAAAATTGTTTTGCATAAACATTTATTTTACCTTAGAACATATTTTTATTCTTAATGTAAAACAACATGTGGTCACACTTTGGTTTAGCATAATTTAGACTAACACGACTAAATTAGATTGCAAGTGGAGATGTAACCAATCACCTGCAATACTGTGTAATATCTGTCGCTTGACCTACGTCAACTTTCTTGGAATCGTAATCTGTTGAAATATCACATTTCTGTTTATATTGCTAATTTTGCAGTAATATTGTGCATTGTTTAAGCAATAAATATTTTCCAGTGTTTTAAATTCATGTTTTGTATGTTAGGAACGTATGAGTAGATAATTTTATTTTACGTCAATATTATGCTAAACTAAAATGTTTTGTAAAAAAAAAAAAAATCGACATTTCCAAATTTCTTGTATGTATTAAATTTAATAGTAAGCGATTTAAAAAAAAGGAAAGGTGTTTATTTCTTAGTATATAAACGTATATCTCAATTTAGGTAAAACTTGAAATATAACAATGAATACGTAGGCATACAACTACAATAATATTTTTCTGTGTTGCCTTATTATTTACAACGTAACCTGTAATAAATCAATAAATATTTTCAAAAGAAAAAATTGTTAGTTTTATCATCGCACATATTTATATTTAAGGATCTTGTCTTAATATATTCAGGATAAGCTAATTAAAGAAAATGAAAACAATATATATTTTTCTTATAAATGCATTGTTTTAAGATCTGTTTTTGTTTTAATTACAAATACAAAGCGTTTACTAAATGCTTTATAATCGGATGTTTGCTTTTTTAAACAAAATGTTGCTTGTATTACACAACATTTTCTATTATATCATTGCTACAAATATTACACTATGGCAAATGTAAAGTAATTTTCTTTTCGTTACATAAGCCTACCCGGTTTAATTTAATTTTTTTTTTAAAGATGATTATTTAAATAGAGCGGGAGTGATCTCTCCTAAACTTTCTTGTATATTCTAATGCAATTGGGATATAGAAATGTTTTTATTTATTTTTTCTTCTTTATATTTAAAAAAAGAATCGCGCACCAATACACAATAGTGCGAAAAATTAGTACTTAATAACGTTGAATAAGTTTTAAAATGCTTCAAGTCAAATTTTATGTCACAATCATTGAAAAGACAAATTACCATAAAAAATGATCTAAAAAAATTCATAATGTAGAGGCATTCAATTTCACCCATAAATAATTAGTATTTAAAGTGTACTAGAAAATCGTATTTTAGTGCTTATCATTCAATTTCCTCGCTAATTTTGACTTTTTAATTCTATGGGGGCGCGGGTCACTTACTTTTTATAAAAGGGGGTCGCCACTCGAAAACGTTTGGGAACCCCTGGTCTATTGGATACCTTTACTAATGTTTAGGAAGAGACCCACGCTTTTCTTTATAGTTATTTAAATAGAAGCCTATAAATTATTTCTACTTTTTAGTGCTTTAGTACATAAAAGCTTGTTATTAAAACGTTTTTTATGAATTTTTTTTAGTACTTTACATGTTTTTATTTTTACAATAGAGTTACATGACTAAAAACCATTGCGCGCCTATTGAACATGATGACTTGCTATTGCACGTGATGACACGCTTTTGCCGTGATGACGCGTGTGGATAGAACTGCCTACTAATTCAATCAAAATTTTAATTACTTCATAAAAAATTAATTAGTCATCCAATTAAGTTAAATTTAATGTCACGATGCATTGTCTTTATGTTTTGACCGACATTCCAACTATGAATCGTATCTGTCAGTTAGAAGTGTCCGAAATTTCGCTCGGTAATTTAGATCTAGACAGACTGACGACTGACGACTGACGAGGAAGTGTGTTAAATAAAAGCTTGTAAAAAGTAAGAAGGCCTATTTGAAAATTAATTTTAGAAAATGTCTATAAACCGATTGCTTTGGAATTGCCATCCCCCTTATTGTTATGAATATATATTTAAAAACAAAAGTATGTTTTCGGTTTGTCTTTTATGAAAATCCAAACGCTTGAATAGATCGGTTTTACCACACTGGTGCATTGTAAATCTGGAAGTGTTTGTGCATTCTTTCTGGCCAATTTCAATGATTTTTTTTTAAATTTTCAAATATTAATATGTCATACAGGCGACCTCCTTTCCACCATTTTTAAGGTCTTTATAAATATAATTGACATATTTTGCGCTGTTTTCAACGCCGGTGCTACCCAGTTTCATGTGTATAGACTTCTGTATTTTCTTATGTAGTGTTTATTTAACATTCAGAAATAAAAACGGATAATATATATTGATACATTCATAATTTGAAATACTTCCACCATTATAATTAAGATTTTACTATTTTTTAAAGACCTTAAATGCTGCTTTGCTTACTAATTATTAATAATTTAAGAACACTTAATACCTTGTTTCTTAATTTAAGAGAGTTTGCGGTTGTGGTGAGGGTTCGTTTATGTATTTGTTTATGATTAGATTTGAAGTTAGGAGGAGGGTTAATGTCCATTTTTTATTTATTTCTAAATTTATATTTGTGTTTGTATTTCCGTTGGTGTTTTCTTTTGCGATGCATGTGTGCTCGTGTTTACGTTTGTGTTTGCGATAGTGTTTTTGTTTGGTTTTAGTTTTGGTTTTGGTTGTGGCTGGTTGTGGTTAGGTTTAAATTTAGAGTCAGAGCTAGGTTTATTTGCATATGGACATTTTATTGAAAAGTAATATATTTCCTAAACCGTTGCGTTTGTGTTTGCTTTTGTAGTTTGTTTGTATTTGTGTTTGATTTTTGCTTTTGGTTTTGATTGTTGTTGGTTGTGGTCAGGATTAAATGTAGTGTCATAGTTAGGTTTAGGTTTATGTGTGATTTTCTGAAACGTCCATATTTTCATATAGAAATTTAATTGAAAACTAATAATATCCTAAACCCGGGCTATGCTTAATACACACAAGTCATGGTCATTTACAGATAGATTTTTTACAGAGGCCACTGTAGGGCCTGGCCGGGACAGATGATCTAAGAATATTCGAAAAAAGATTGTTGAAATCACATTTGTGTGTAACACTCACTCAGTGGGGATGATTTTACCCACGTAGGTGTTGTGGTTAAGACGGGCTGACCCTGAGATTTAGGACACACTGAAGAGCCGCTGTTGTCAACTACTGGCTTTATTGGCATTACATCAAGCCATAAACGGCGATGTAAAACAACAGTAGTAAAAAGTGTAGAAAACAGTGGACGACGACTTATAGATGAATAATGAACTGTAGCCTTTAAAAAAATGTAAGCAAAAGGTTACATCAATGATAATACCATGTGTAGGCTACAAAAATACACGGGTGCAATAAAAAATGTTACTGCCAATAAGTAGCACTAAGTAGCAAATTAAGAACTACTTCAATAAATACTTAACACCTAACTAGTGCGCAATATGCGGCACTAGCAGGAATAATACAGAAAAGTAATCTAACGAAGACACTCCACCCCTAGTCTGCAACATGTAGCACTAGTACGAGTAGTACATTAATATAAAACATAATATTACCTTCATTAGGTCTACATTGTCATGATCTACCTCTAGGTACCGTCACCCTCCGTGTCCACAGACAGCAGCCTTGGGTCTGACTGACACGGCTAGGCACGAACTACCCATGACAATAAGACATGCGACACAGATAAAATCGCTTACAGAAGAGCATGCAAAAAAACTACATCAACGGGTCTGCGGTTCCACAGGTGCCGCAACCCAATGAATTGAAACTTTATTCTTATCCCCCCTTGGCTGGTAAGCATATGTGCTACATGTGTATTATTAGTGCAAGTGACATTTTAGGGGTTAGGTTTTTGTTAGAGTTAGGTACTATGTTTTATGGTTTATGGTTTAAAGATTAGGGTTGAAGGGTTAGGTAAGATCTCAGGGCTAGGAATTAGGGTTATCGTTAAGGCTAGGTTAGGGCTAGGGTTAGTCTAAGAGAATAATAATAATGATTTTTACAGGACAAATATTAAGAAATTTAATTGAATAAACATAAGAAGTATTTTTGACTTATTCATCTGCAATTTAAGTAAAGCTGTTTTTTCCGCAGGCAAATTTATTTTATTGTAGAGAAAATAAATAAGTAACTTATATCATCTCACATCCTGTCGAGGAAAACTTTAATAAACCCAGTGCTTATTTACTCTCAATCATTAGTAGATATACGCATTGTCTATTTTCTCGATAGGATAAAAGATGACACAAACACTGTTATCGTAGCACTATCGAGAAATACGATATGGAAAAACCAGCGTGTAATTAAGGTTGCTAATCTGATAATGAAGTGACGCTACTTGAGTTGGTGTGTAGAGTTGCATTATAGAGGAGGATTTTGTAAGCTGCGAAAAAACCAGTAAGTTGTCTATTTTAATAAGCCTACTTGTTTAGCAGAAGTATAATGATGCAAACGTTTAATATA